CATTGATTTCCGTATTATGGACGCCGACAATGGCATGTGTGGCGGCTTCCTTTGTCGAAAATCTGCGCGTTGGCGTAGTAGTGGACATGGTGAAGGTAGTCAGGGTAGCACGGCATTAGCAGCAGAAACAACATCGGGCGGCCGCATGTAAGAGTAAAGTACAAAATCAAATAATGAATTAATGGATTTGGCTGGAGAAGGAGAGAAAATCCTAGAAGTCATGTTCTGTGGACAAAGCATAGTAGATACACTTACGGCATACATACATATGCTGCTATGCAGTGTATACAGATTGTAATTACATATATAAATGTGAGTGTATGCTCTGTTTGTCGTTAGGCTTTAATGTTTAGCCGATTGCGTAGTGTTGCTCATACTAACCGCACAAATGCGTAGCCCTTATCCTTAAAGACGCGTATCTCTTGTATCGATCCGTATGGTGTGAAGGTCTTCTGTAGGACATCCTCGCTGAGCGCAGTTAAGGCGCTGTTGACACCTCCAACGTAAACAGTGCAATTGGAGGGGCTGCTTTGAATGTAGACCTCATCGAATGTCAAAGGTTTGATATTTTCTGCAAAAATAAAATATTGATATAAAGTATAGGTTATGTCAGATTGGTGTCCACACATTTTTTAAGTTAGCTATGATATGTAAATACTAGTGAACCCGTATGGCGTTGAAATGCCCAAAATTTAATTTCAAAAACCTACAGACTATTCCAAATGCTAGTCAAAGTTATGGGCGATGCGAGTGCAATTTTTCTCACTCACATACTCTNGTTCTAACTTGAAAAAACACCTTATTACACATCCACGGGGCCAGGTTTGACCTCTCATATTTGACATTCGAAAGAACAGTGCAAATCCATTGACCTTCACAAAAGATGCATTATCGTATAATATATATGCTTAGTTAGATCGGTATGACTTTTCGAGAAGGTGGCGAGCATAATCATAGATATTTTCAGACTGAAGCTTTTATAAATCTCTTTCGATTGCCACTGATATTTAAATTTTTCATAAAACTGGAGTATAAGTTAACACAATTCCACAAAATATTTTCCAAAAGTATTTTCAAAACTGAAATCTTTTTAAATAAGTATCTTTCGTCTAACAATGTGTTACATATTTCAATTAACTGCTGAATCAGGTTTAATTTGATCTTCCAAACACGTGGCAACACTCTTAAGTAAATGATTCAAATAAAGCCTTTTTAACCGCATTACAATTGATAGCCACCTTTTAATAATTAATTTAACCTACTAAATAATTTGAATGTAACTTTTCAAGCAGGTGGAACGCTTCTTCGAAAGCATTTTCTAGCTAAAACTTTCTTCGATTTTCATCGCCTGGCATTCTGATACATATTTTTATTAGCATTAAGTTGAACTTGTTGTTTTAACCATGTGGCAAACCCCTAAATAGAGTTAAAAAATAAAGCCTTTTCAAACCCATTCCTATTCATACCCATATAACTTTTTAAATAATTTAAAATTTTTAAATAAGAGGTAACCCCCTCATTTGATACCAATATTTTAACATTTAATATACTCTGTGCAAATTAACTAAGTTCGACATTTGAAAAAGGTGGCAACACTTTTCAAAATATTTTCAAAATAAAACCTTTTTTAATATTTTTTCTGTGACAACCTTAATAACGGTTACACAGGTGGCATCCCTCATAAATACATTTCAGAAATAAAACCTTTTCAAACCTATTTAGATTGATATTCATCTTTTAATAATTCTTTATGAACACGTAATAATCATCTTAAATGTTCGAGCTAAATACTTCTTAACTTTCTTACGCTTGACACCCTTATTTTCAAATAACAGGCGTATATAGTACAATTTTTAAACAGGTGGCAACCCTCTTCAAAAATAGTTTCGAGCTAGAACCTTCTGAATATCTTTCGTAGGACGTTGTTATACATATTTTAATTAATTGATGATTTAAGTTGAATTTGATTTTAAATATGTGGCAACACCCTAAATAAAGTTCAGAAATAAAGCTTTGCGAACTCACTTCCATTGATACCAATATTTTAATAATTAATTTAGCTTATTTAATAATTTCAATCTTACTTTTTTTAACAGTTCTTTGTTTTCAAACTAAAGACACCTTAACACTACTTCATTTGACATAGTTTAATATTTCAGTGTGTATAATTTAGAGAAGAGAAAAGAGTGTAGTTACATCAACTGAGCATAATTCTCTCAAAAGACGATTTATGTATAGTTACATTATAGTTACCAAGTCATTTCTTGAAATAAATATTTTTAGCTGAATATTTTGTCAATGTACTAGTAAAAACCTTCCAACAAAAAGTATGTAATTCCGTCCTTAATAAAAGTTTAAAACATAAGTAAATATACCCCTATTTTCGAAGTTTTATAAAACTTCAATAAACATTAAAAATTCATTGCTATAACAGAATGCACGGTAGAGTGGTCCAAAAATGCATTTGAAAAATTAAAGTCGGAGTTTTGTTCATTAGGGTGGTCCAAAACAAGTAAAGTCGAAATTTTAATGCTCTATGATTGCCCGGCGGGCATATTCGCGTATACATTCACGTTCTGCTTTAGAAGGCAGCGAAAGCTTCACTCAACCGCACGACTCTTCCGCACGCACATAGTGACATCAATTGTACGCACACTGCAAAAATTCTCTGTCGAAGCTGCCCACCTCTATTCTATACGGAAAAAATATACACATATTTTTTTATTTTTAAATCAAAAATTATTTAGAGGTCGCTCAAAGCGCTCAAAGTTTCCCAGGTATTTTATAAGGGGAAAAAACTCCTTTCGTAGAAATGGTAGGAATTCTTGGAAAGCAATAAATTCGATCGGAGAACTTTGTTTTTCTTCAGGAGATTCCCAATAAAAATAACCAATTAATTATTTTAAAAAATTTCCATAGTAACTATATTTTATAGGTCCGCCAAAACACCCAGAAAGTGCCTAAAAATGCAATGGGGGGATAAATAAAAAATCGTTAGAATTAAAAATTGGTTAAACAAACAATTGGGTATTGTTGTCGGACGTCTTTTCCCGAAAATATTGATTTTCAAGAGTTCTATACCACTTCTACAAAAAGTGGTTTTTCCCCATATAAAATACATGGAAAACTTTGAGCGCATTGAGCGACCTCTAAATAGTTTTGGATTTAAAATTTAAAAAATTGGAGTATATTTTTTCGATATAGAACAATCCTTGGGGATGAGAGCATAAAAATTCCGACTGTACTTGTTTTGGACCACCCTAATGAATAGTAATATACGAGTACAGACACACCAGGGTATTTACGTGCATGTTAATGTGCATTCAGTTGCTGGCGCGGAAACGGACTAATTAGCCTTTTTAGGTTAAAATAAAATTTGCACTATTTAAAAAAATAATGTCAACATCGCGTGTTTATTGCTCAATGTATGAATTGTATTTTTTTGTAGTACTTATAAACATTCTGTTACACATATACGACGGGTGCACGGCATTTGCAAGTGCATTTGTATGTATTGTTATGCTTTTATATATGGGTGCATGACAGGGGCGGCCTTGCAACTGTACAGAGTGATAAGGTTTTAAGGCCAGAAAAGAGAAATAACATGGTTAGATGGACATATTTCTTTTTATAAACAAGCAAAACTTCTTTGGAAAAAAGTAAAACAAAGCGAACTACTGTGAGCTATGAGGACCTGCCCGGCTGATGCACTCAGCGCCTTGGTTGGAATACTTCCCTAACTATTATAATAAAAAAAGAGGTGACCACACCGGCAATGAGAATCCTATATACCACTAGGGGATTTTTGGTACACTTTGCAGATCGAGCTCACTGGAATACAGAGAACCGATACACCAAACTTAGTGAGGAGGTTTGGTACACAGATGGATCTAAGCTTGAAAATGGTAAAACTGGAGCTGACATTTTTGGGCCGAACTTCATAAAATCTATAACAGTAGTAGCTAGCCCACCATCTTTCAGGCGGAGATTCATGCAAGAGAAATTTGTGGCAGAGAATGTCTTAGAAGGGGCACAACTTCGAAATAAATATATCAGCGGAATTATGTCGGACAGTAGGCAGCTCTACTGGCCCTGAAGTCCCACAAAATAAGTTCTCAGCTAAACAGTTGCTAGTTGCCTCAAAATCATAAATGGTATTGATGCCAAGATTACGGTTTTATTATCATGGGTACTGGGGCAAGAGGGACATGGTGACAAGGCGAAGGCTGACTGCGCCTACTGCAATGATTATTAACTGGTTTTCAATGACACCTGTATAATAATTTTCTACCTCTAAGAAACACACAACACGAACGGAGCCCTTGCAGCGAAAACATTGCATAATTAATAAATGGTATAAATATATGTAGGAGGCACCAGTAATGTCGTTTGTTTCATTAGTCCACTTACATTCTGATATTTTTCTTGAGTATGGCTAAGATAGTCTTTGTGTTGAACCATTTATGGGATTGCTTTTTACCTAACTTGATTAGGATGTCACTCATGTCTATTGCTATTCAGCTGAGGGAAAGCTAAATCCAGTTTTAGAGTTGTGGACTTTGAATTGTATGGTAATTGGCACTTTATAAGCCTGATGTGAGACAAAGAGACAGATGTGCGCAAGGTGTGGCTCTTATACCATAGATTTATTGTGGTCCCCAGCTGCTGTTTGTTGGTGTACAATTAGGTGGGATCTGAAAGAATCGTCTGGTTGGTTTGTAGGCAACAGCTTACTACCGGATTCCCAAGTTACTCCTCTGAGTAGAGTAGAAATACCCGTAAGTCCTTAAAGTCTGAGTCACATTTATGCCATTTTAAGACTTCGAAATTTAAATTTATAACCTCTTTTTATTTTTGTACATATGTAGATATATTTTCCAGTGTTTTCAATAAATGTATTGAACCGCACCTGTATTTTTCGCTAAACTTTCATGTATACCCAATCAGCGTGCCATAGAGCCTTGCTTCGTCTCCGGTTCCATTGTAATGGCAAACGCTAGTGGTATGTTGGTACAATAATTACATTGCAGCAACAACATAAGCATGCATAAATAAAAGCAAAAGCAACAACAACAACAACAACAACAACAACAATGTTGACAGAAACGGTAGCATATACATATCTAAGAGTGGAATTACTTCAAAGCATGCAACAGGAATTTTTTCGTATAACTCATTTCCTCGCCAACCCCAGCCAAATCAGCCTGGTGGCAATGTGCTAATGCCTGCCAGTATGTATGTATATGCACATACATACATACATAGAAATCTCCTGACAAGCGCTCATAGTTGTAAAGTGCCAATGTACGTGGTGTAGCGCAAAGAGGCAAAACAAAAAAGAATATAAAAACAATTATACCTGTGCTTTCACAAAAATACCTTCATAACAAGGCTAAAATTTATTTGACGCTATTGTCGTAGCGCAAAGTTAAATACAAATGCATTAACACACATACGCACATGAGTAGAGGGAGCATGGACACAAAGTACAGAGGATGTATGCAATAAAAAGCTTGACTGTTGTTTTTTTGTTGTTGTTGTTTTACTAATTGTGTTGCAGTTGCCACCTTT